AGTCATGAAGGATTTTGGCTATAGAACAAGTAATTATGATCATATCTTATTTTTGAAGAAAGGTGAAGGTAAAATTACAACTTTAATTATTTATGTAGATGATATGATATTTACTAAAAATGACCAATATGAGATTTCTAGTTTGCAAAAACACCTTACATCTGAGTTTGAGATGAAACAATTTGAAAAACTCAAATAATTTTTGAGTATTGAAGTAGTCAGATCAAAACGTGGTATTTTTCTATGCCAAAGAAAATATACTCTTAATTCACTATCTGAACCAGGGTTGCTTGGTATAAACTAGTTGATACCCCAATTAAACAAAATCATATGCTCTTTTAATGCTCAAATTCAACTAGCATAGATAAAGGGAGGTACCATAGATTGGTGAGAAAATTAATTTATTTGTCCCATACATGTCCTGATATTACATATGCAGTAAATGTCGTTAGTCAATTTATGCATGATCCGCACAAGTTTATATGGATGTTATTGAGAAGATTTGGAGATATTTGAAATCTACTTCTAAAAAAAATCATGAAAACGTAAAGATTGAAGGGTACACCGATGTTGAACGGACTGGATAAAAATGATAGAAAGGTCTACATTTGAATACTTTACGTTTGTAGAGGGAAATCTTGTAACTTGGAGAAGTAAAAAAACAACTTCTAGTAACAAAATCTAATGTTGAAACAGAATTTAGAGGCATGACCCTTGGGGTATATGAACTTTTGTGGGTACGAAATATTTTGTTAGATTTGGGTTTTAAATCAAAGGAAGTTATGAGTTTGTAATGTGACAATATATCAACAATAGCAATTGCTCATAATCCCATCTAACATGATAAAACAAAACATATAAGATTGATAGACATTTCATCAAAGAGAAGCTTGAAGTTGGAATAATCTTCTTTCTCTTTGTAAGATTTGAATTGCACTTAGCCGATATTCTCACTTTTATTTCCTGCATTTTGATGCATGACTTTTCTTCATAAACATCAACATCTACCTGGGTGGAAAGCCATGATTTTTGTAGCAAGTTTATATAGTATGTCATATCCTTCCACAATAGGTACATACTTTTCTACTTCCTCTACCTCTACCAAAGAATCTTGATCCTTCTACAACATTTACTAATACATTTGTCTTCACTTGTCCCTGGAGATGTTAGTTCACACAATAACTTTCTTTCTTGTTGTGTCACCATTGAAAGCACTTTGTTAATCAAAGGAGGTTCCATAAGTGTTGTGCATAGGATACCGTTAAACAAAGTATAAACAGTTTCTTTCTTATCAAGAAACACACAAGGGTTAGGGTTAATGAAGAAGACAAGGTAAAATAACAAGGAACAACAAGGATTGGTTATTTAACTGCTATTCTTTCCTTTCTCTTAGAACAAGATTACAAGTATACAAGAATAACAAAATAACCTCTCTCCCTTGAAATTAGGATTTTATCTTCCTATTTTTCCTTATGCCAAGATTGAGAAACTAGCATCCTATTTATAATAAAATAGCACACTAACCTAATGGGCTTTTTAACAATTACCCATTACAAGCTAACTTAGGGTACAAGCTAACTTAAACAATTGGGCTTACAAGCAAGACCCAATTCAACATGCTAACAACCTTAGCAATATTTACTCATGCTAACAACCTTAGCAATATTTACTCATGCTAACAACCTTAGCAATATTTACTCATGCTAACAACCTTAGCAATATTTACTCATGCATGTTAGAACAAACTTCGACTACAACACGCATTACTTGCGAACAGACTTCGACCACACTAGAGTTTGATCCAATGTCTCACAAATCTCCACCTTGGATCTAACTCTATAACATCAAGAAACTAGCTTTCTTCATGCAGATTTATTAACTGCATATAGTGGAAAAACTTGCAACTAGGCAATGTCTTGGTGATCATATCAGTAGCATTATGATCTGTCGAAACTTTCAGCACTTGGACTTCTCCATGCTCGGTTACCCCTCTGATGAAATGCAGCCTCACATCAATGTGCTTGGTTCGCTCATGATAGGCTGAATTCTTCGACAGTTGTATTGCACTTTGACTATCACATTTAACAGTGATAACTCGACCTTGAAGTTTTAGCTCCTTTGCAAAACCTTCAAGCCACACTGCTTCCTTCACAGCTTCAGTTAGAGCAATATACTCCGCTTTAGTGATTGATAAGGCAACGACCTTCTGAAGTGTTGCTTTCCAACTGATTGCTGTCTCAAACATAGTGAACACATATCCGGAGATAGATTTTCTAGAATCCATACAACCTGCATAATTAGAGTCGACATATCCTTCGATTACTGCTTTACTATCTTCACCCAAGGCTCCACCGTAAATTAGGACTCTATTCAGAGACCCATTTATGTACCTTAAAATCCACTTCAATGCTTGCCAGTGAGCCTTTCCAGGATTCGCCATGTACCTGCTTACAAGACTTACTGCATATGCTATGTCGGGTCTAGTACAGACCATAGCATACATCAAAGAACCTACTATGTTAGCATATGGAATGCTATTCATATAAGTTCTTTCAACATCAGTGCTGGGACACTGATTTATACTCAGCTTGAATTGAGGGTTTGTCGGAGTCACAACAGGCTTTGAATTCGACATACCAAACTTTTCGAGAACCTTCTGTAGATATGCCTCTTGAGATAAGCATAATTTCGAATGCTTTCTATCTCTCCGGATGTCAATCCCAAGAATCCTGGACGCAGCTCCCAGATCCTTCATTTCGAACTCTTTATTGAGTTCAGCCTTCACCCTCATTACCTCTTCAACATTGTTGCTTGCTATTAGAATATCATCCACATAGAGCAACAAAATAACAAATGAATTACCCGGTCGAAATCTGAAGTAAACACAGTGGTCGAACTGGCTTCTGATGAAACTTATGTGTGCCATGAACTTGTCGAATCTCCTATTCCACTGTCGAGGAGATTGTTTCAGTCCATATAAAGATCTATTCAGTTTGCACACATAATCTTCCTTCCCCCTTTCGACATACCCTTCATGTTGCCTCATCAGGATTGTTTCATCTAGATTACCATACAAGAATGCAGTCTTCACATCCATCTGTTCCAGTTCAAGGTCGAACTGGGTCACCATGGCAAGCAACATTCGAATGGATCTGTGCTTCACAACAGGAGAGAACACATCATTAAAGTCGATATCTTCTTTCTGAGTGAATCCCCTAGCAACCAATCTTGCCTTGTATCTCTTCGACATCACTCCTTTGATACCTATCGAAGAACCTTATCACCAAGGCTCAATAATATTGTGTTGTGGGCTTTCTCGATCATGCCCGTCTTTTCTTTTGTCGTTAACGCAGCGTCCATGGCTGCCTCACCCTTCAACGCTTCCAAACAACCCTGCTGAACCAATAGGGCTTTCATCTTCAAGCGCCACAGACCAAAGTCGTTCACTCCGGTGAACTTTTCAATCTCATACTTTGTTGAAGGCATCTTTTCCACGCTCACCGCACCAATTTGTTGTGAATAGGATACCGCTAAACAAAGTATAAACGGTTTCTTTCTTATCAAGAAACACACAAGGGTTAGGGTTAATGAAGAAGACAAGGTAAAATAACAAGGAACAACAAGGATTGGTTATTTAACTGCTATTCTTTCCTTTCTCTTAGAACAAGATTACAAGTATACAAGAATAACAAAATAACCTCTCTCCCTTGAAATTAGGATTTTATCTTCCTATTTTTCCTTATGCCAAGATTGAGAAACTAGCATCCTATTTATAATAAAATAGCACACTAACCTAATGGACTTTTTAATAATTACCCATTACAAGCTAACTTAGGGTACAAGCTAACTTAAACAATTGGACTTACAAGCAAGACTCAATTCAACATGCTAACAACCCTAGCAATATTTACTCATGCTAACAACCTTAGCAATATTTACTCATGCATGTTAGAACAAACTTTGACTACAACACGCATTATTTGCGAACAGATTTCGACCATACTAGAGTTCGATCCAATGTCTCACAATAAGAAAAGTCTTTGAAGCTTCACTATTATACTCATCATTCCATCCTATTAGAAATTGGATTATTTTGGCTTCCAATTTGAAGGATCTATTATTCCTCATAGCTACACAAGTACATGGATGTATCTACAATAAGGAAAAGGTCAATATTACTCGAGATTATGCGATTACCTTGTTGAAAATTAAAAACTATGTTTGATTTTTTTTTACGTGCCATGGCAACTTTTGAAATTGAAGTTAGCAAAAAGTTACAGGTTCACCTCTATTGCGGGTTCAAATTCTTTTTGTTGCAGGTTCAACAAGGAAACATGCGCATGCTTTAAAATTATAAAGATGGTTGAAACATGCTTTAAAATTAATATTGTTGTTTAAGATGGTATATTATTTGGATGGTTGAAACAATGCAACAATGAAATTTTGTCATTCCTATATTTTTTGAACCGTTGGCTATTAAACAACAAATATTTGAATTAGCAGCAAATGAGGTCAATAAATTGTACAAGTTTTATTAGCAGCAAGTGAAGTCAATATCTAGCACACAAATTAAAGTTTTAAATTTTATTGCTCTTAAAACCACTGTCGTCTATTATGATTCTTTCCAACTCGAGGTTTAGTCTCTACAGTTGCATGAAAAGGATATCCAATTTATACCATAAAAGATAAGTAAACTCTATTGTTCGTGAAACATAAATTGATGGTTTAGCGAAAATTGTTTTAAAGATTCTTCATCAAAATATCCTCATCAGTAAGTGTCAAGAAACATCCAATGAAATATGTTAGACTCATGAATCTTAACCAAAATAGAACAAAAGTTCTATTCGGGTAAGAATGAAAATAGAACAGTAACAAACAAGAAGCAGAGTCAACTTTGCCCATACTGTTTTTTTTTTCTTTCAATTGTCCATATAAGACTTGGCACAAAATAAGACTAAAGTAATACAAAACAGAAAAATTCCCTAATCAAAAACTTAATTTCATACTTGATTCATAATATAATCAATCAAATGACTTAAATAAGTGTAGGAAGATCCACCATCTAACAAAGTCTTCCTACTTTTTTCACTCATCTCTTTCACTTTCTTCCTTATCTCTCCATCTTTTTCCATGACACTCTTTATTCCTTTCTCAATCTTATCTGCAGTTAAAAGATAACTATGCTCACCATTAAACTCCACCCTATAATCCAATGCAATCTCCACAGCTATTTTCAGCTCAAACACCAATTCAAACGCATTTGTCTGTTGTTCCGCATAAAGAGGCCACGCGGCAATAGGCACACCAAAATATATGCTCTCCAGGATAGAATTCCAACCACAGTGCGAAACAAATCCTCCTATAGCTTGGTGAGCAAGTATTTGAGTCTGTGGAGTCCAACCAACGACCTTTCCAATTTCAGCCGTCCGATTTAAAAATCCTTCGGGTAAAAGCGAAACCAAATCTGAAAGTGGATAATTAGAGGGCACGGGCATAACGCCTTTCAGTGAGGGTTTACATAGAGACCACAAGAAACGAACTCCACTATTCTCAATAGCATGTGCTATCTCTTGGATTTGGTCTGCATAGAAAGAACCCCTGGTCCCGAAGCAGAGGAAAACTACCGAAGAAGGAGGTTGATCATCAAGCCATTTGATGATATCATCCGAATCAACGGTGCCCTTTGTTTTGGGCTGGGGGTTTAATAAAGGCCCTACCGGATATATAGTTGGTAAGCCTGCTAGATCAGGATGAGAGAAAAAGGATTGAACCGCATGTGATTCAAGCTCTTCAAATGAATTTACTATAATGCCATTTGGTTTCTTGAGGCCTCCTACATAGCTCATGAAAAACGACTCCCGTTCTTTGTGTAGCACAGAACTTGGAAACGAGTTTACAGGAACCGAGTTGACAAAACTCGGAACGGCTAACTCGTTCCGCTGCAGTAACTGAGTCGAATCAAAGTTATCTCGTTCAAACAGAGTGTGAAGATGAAGCATCAAACCAAGGGAAGCAACACCGGAAGTGAAGAAAACTAGCGAAGGCACGGAAAATTCTTTAGCAACATCAATCATGGTGGTGCAGGACATGTCAACAATGAAGGCAGCGAGGGGTCCATGTTGTTGTTCTTCGGCAGTGAGGTTAGAGACGGCTTGTTTGACGTTTGGTTTTTGAGATTCGACGAGAGCGATCATGGCGGAAGCTCGATCCGTGTTTGGTGGAACTGAAGTTTGTGGAAGGTTGATGACAAGGAGAGAACCGGAGATGGGAAGGGAATCAATGTATGACTCAGCTTCTGAGTTGTTTGGGAGTTTCATAAGTAAAACGGTTATTCGGAGACGGTTATCACGGTCGATTAAAAGCTTGGCGAATTCAAGGGTGGAAGCTAGATGGCTCAAACTAGAAGAAGGGATAAACACAACTTGTGCTTTCTTCATTTCGGATATGCACTGAGTCTGAGTCTGAGATACTGTGTTTTGAAATGTTGTTTGATATTCCTGTAGAAAATGGGAAGGATATGCTAAGTTTGACTTACATATTTTTGCTAACTTTGTGTCTATCATTCTCTAATAAGCCACTGAAATAAATTATTCTATTTTCATTTATGTATCTTGTTATTATATTGGTGTTTGTTGTGTGTCCTTTATGAGATATGTCAGTGATGTCATGGCTTTGCTGTATTGTGGAGTGAAAGGGATGTGATATTGAAATGTTTTATTAGTTATATGGTCTAAAAAAATTAATATTAACTAGGTCATTTTCAAGAATATAATTTTACTTCTAGTTTATGTAGGGATAGTGAAAATGAAAAAATCTATGATTTTATTGAATAATTTTCTTCTTGAGTTACCAAGAGAAAATGAAGTCTTCATTTTGATTTTTGATTTAGTTTTTCATGCATTTGTATTCTTTTTTGATGCATAATAACACAATTTCATACTATTCACTAATTTATCAAATGAGCTTGTATTTGTATTACATAATTAGCTAATATGTCTTTTGTATTACTGCAGGTAGTCGAAGGAGGTCGACAATCTGATGGTCGGGTTGCGGGGCTCTTTCGCCGGCTATGTGTGCTGCAACAGTAGTCCAAATTAGTCCAAATTCAAGTATCGCGCGTTGGCTGTCATAGTTTGGTTTAATTTAGCAAGTCCAATTATGTCTGGGGTTCATAGGGTTGGCTAGTGTTCCTCTCAACGTCTCATATTCGAATCTCGTTAGATGCAAACAATTCATGTATTGGATTCCAAGAAAATTGGTTTCAATTTGTAGAATGGATGATGCGGTTTCTTGTTGATTGAAACTGTATTCAACAGGTTTTTCTCTGTTACTTGGGGGTACTTCTGGTACCTTGGTTTCAATATAATTCTCTGTTTGCTTGTTAAAAAAAGTCTTGTATTGTGTCTCTCTAACAGATAGCAATTGTATATCACAAACTTAGAATCCAATGCAAATTATATATCGCTAGCACCACAATAATTTTCAGAATAGTGTAGACATACATTAACATGGTGAATTTATGTGTGCAGTAATGAATTTTGATCTTATTGTGAGCTGCAGTTTTATGTCAACTAATGTTTTTGTCAACTGTTGACACTTGGAAACGAAAGTTGATTCTTTTATAATAGAAGAATAAAAAAGAAATGAAAATGAAAATACAAGAACTATATTATTAAGCCTTCAAAATACAAGCTGGGTATATTGAAAATTAAACATATAGCCCATGAGTAAGGAGGTATTAGGATCATTTAATCTCATATTTGATTCATAATATAATCAATCAAATTACCTAAATAAACATAGGAAGATCCACCCTCTAATAAAGTCTTTCTACTTTTTTCACTCATTTCTTTCACTCTCTTTCTTAACTCTCCATCATCAGACAACACACTTTTTATTCCTCTCTCAATCTTTTCTGCAGTTACAACATAGTTATGCTCACCATTTAATTGCACCCGATAGTCCAATGCAATCTCCACGCCCAATTTCAGCTCACACGCCAATTCAAAAGCATTCGCCTGTTGTTCAGCATAAAGAGGCCACGCCGCAATAGGCACACCAAAATATATGCTTTCAAGTGTGGAGTTCCACCCACAATGCGAAACAAATCCTCCGGTGGCCGGGTGGGCTAGTATTTGAGTCTGTGGAGCCCAACCAATGACCTTTCCAATGTCACTTGTCCGATCTAAAAATCCTTCTGGTAAAAGCGAAACCAAATCTGAAAGTGGATAATCAGATGGCGCAGACATAATACCGTTTGGCGAGGGTTTACGTAGAGACCACAGAAAACGAACTCCACTATTTTCAATAGCATGTGCTATCTCCTGAATTTGGTCTGCATAGAAAAAACCCCGAGTCCCAAAACAGAGAAAAACTACCGAGGAAAGTGGTTGATTATCAAGCCATTTGATGATATCATCTGAATCGTCAGTGCTCTTTGTTTTGGGCTCAGGGTGTAATAAGGGCCCAACTGGATATATAGGTAAAGCTGCTAGATCAGGATGAGAGAAAAAGGAGTGAACTGCATGTGATTCAAGCTCTTCAAATGAATTTATTATAATGCCATCTGGTTTTTTGAGGCCTCCTACAAAGCTCTTAAAAAACAACTCCCGTTCTTTTTCTATCATAAAACTAGGAAGCGAATGTATAGGAACCGAGTTGGCAAAACTCGGAACTGCTACCTCGTTCATCTGCAGTAACTGAGTCAAATCGAAGTTGTCTCGTTCAAACAGTGTGTGTAGATGTAGCATCAAACCAAGAGAAGCAACGCCGGAAGTGAAGAAGATGAGCGCAGGGACGGAAAGTTCTTTTGCAACATCAATCATGGTGGTACAGAACATGTCAACAACGAAAGCGGCCAGGGGTCCATGTTGTTCTTCTTCGGCAGAGAGGTTAGAGACGGCTTGTTTGACGTGTGGTTTTTGAGCTTCGAGGAGAGCTTTCATGGCGGAAGCTCGATCTGTGTTTGGGGGAAGAGAACTTTCTGGAAGATTGACTATATGGAGTGAATCGGAGATGGGAAGGGAATCGACATATGCATCAGCTTCAGAGGTGTTTGGGAATTTCATAACTAAAACGGTTATTCGAAGACGGTTATCACGGTGGATTAGAAGCTTGGCGAACTCAAGGGTGGAAACTAGATGGCTCAAACCAGAAGAAGGGATGAAAACAACTTGTGCTTTCTTCATCTTGGATATGCACTTCTTCGGTGTGAGTCTATGAGGTATTGTGTTTTGAATTGTAGTTTGATTTTCCTGTGACTTGTATTTATACAGGAATAGGAATAGTATAGTGTAGAAATTTAGGATAATAATTAGTGTTTGTTGCATGTCCTGGAATTACAACTAGCCATCGGCGCCACCAGATTTAGCAAAGACTACTTTTAATAAAATATTAATTTTTAGAATATCTCCAAGAAGTATTCTTCCAAGAAGTAAAAGATAGAGGAGTTATCATGTCAGCGATGATGTCACGGCTTTGTTGGATGGGATGATGTCAGTATTCTTCCAAGATTTAAATGTTTTTGTCAGACTTTTTACTGTTCTGCCCTATATTAAAATAATAAATTTCATAATGTTCCACATTTAAAAATATTTATTAGAGTGCCTCAGATTTAAATAAATTTGTCCAATGAATGGGCGAGCTAGTGAAAAAAGAATTTTAGGTGGTGCATGTTTGTTCTTTCATTGGGCGAGCTTCTGGATGCTGAAATGGGCTCGTCCATTGAATGGACGAGCGTGTGCTGATGCGTTTTTTTTAATGATAATGTTATTAATAATTTTAATTTTAATTATTAAAAGTGTAATGTTATTAATAATTATAATTATAATTATCAAAAGTGTAATGGTAATAACACTTTCAGATTTTAATTATTTAATGATTTACTAAAATGTTAAATAGTTAATTTTAATTATTAAAATGTCATTAATAATTTTAATTTTAAATATTAAAATGTTGACGTAATTTTTTAAAGAGTCTTGATCATTGAATGACCGAACTCAAACGTTATTTTTTTTATAAATAAGCAATATTGCGCATCAGCAAATATCATTCGTGTCAACTTATCCTATTTATAAAAATGTCTGTGCAAGCTCTTGTTTTCTATGGACTGGAGAAAAAAATCAGTATTTACCTAGATCTGCTGTGGAATTTCAGAACCGTGGTTGCAGCAATTAACACCGGGTTTCGGCAGCTGGGCGGTCGTCGCGTGACAGTGAGAAAATTGGAGTATCGTCCATATATAACGCTTACTTATGCTAGCCCGGAGAGGACGTACATGTACTACCTAAATCGTATAGAAAATGATGAAGATGTCCATTGCATGTTTTCAGCACATAGTGGCGAAGTTAACAGAGGAATCACAGATCCACTTGTGTTGGTCGCTGTTGTTGGTTAGAGTTTATGTTAGCTTCATGAGTTTTATTTTTGAGTTTGTGGAGTCACGGATCCACTTTATGTTTGTAGTTCGCTGGTATTGTTGTAATTTGAAAGTTGTTTTAAATTAAAAACAATTGATGGATCACATACAAAAGTAGTACAATCAAATTATCTATTCAGTCGGTTTGACGGACCGGCAACATTGGGACATTTTTTACGCATATGACCTATTTCTCTGCAAATCTCACACTTTCTCTTCTCTTTTTCTCCGTCGTCCATCTCAGTTCTAATTCTACTACTTTTTGGACGTCCCTTTTTATTTCTTCTCATGGAATCGTCGTGGAACAGAGTAAAACCTTCATATTTTGGCCAGTTCTCCTCATGCGGTAGTCCCAGGAAGCTTTCCTTGTAGACCTTGAATATATTAAGAACTGTGAAGACCTCTGGAATATGAATTGTGTAGTCCTGTCGTATGCTAGCACATGCCGTTATCACGTGGGAGTAAGGCAAGTGAAATGCTTGAAATTTTCCACAGTCACAGAAACGATTCCTCAAGTCAACGCTGAAAGTACCCGTTGGACGACCATCGTTGTAATTAATCTTTTCCTGTACCAATGAAACAGAATCTTTCGCGATCAAATTGCATGACATTGTGTGTGTTAGCCTTGGCTACCTCATCAGCCATTCCCTTGTTACAACCATCTGTGAAAACTCTGCCTGAAGATAGCATTTTGGTTCATTTGTGTCCTTGTTTACCAAAGAGTGAACCCATTCGGTAGTATGTAGACTGGACCAATGCAGTAATTGGAAGGTTTCTAGTTGCCTTTAGTACAGAGTTTATGGCCTCTGCCAAGTTAGATGTCATATGTCCCCAACGTTGCCCTCCGTCAAATGCTCTAGCCCATTTCTCCCTAGGAATGTTGTCTATCCAATTTGAAGCCTCAATGTTTGTTCTTCTAATTTCTCGATAGTAATTAAATCTAGCCTCCGTCAATGCGTAACCTGTAACAGAAATATGTGAAAAAAATGATAAAAGTGTGGTACAAAACTTGAGATAAGTGAAATGTATTTGGTTACCCATGTTAACAAGTTTTCTGCGTAGATCTTTGTCCTTAATCTCGCGCATGAAGTTCTGAGCAATGTGTCTTATGCAGTAGACATGTGAAGATGGTGGATGTTGCCATCCGTTTTTGGGATTGTTGTATGCACTCTTTATCGATTCATGTCTATCAGATATTAGACACAAATTAGGCTGTGGTGTCACGTGTAACCTCAGGTTCCTCAGAAAAAAGCTCCATGCTTCCTTTGTTTCACCTTCGACCAATGCGAATGCTATTGGGAAAATATTTGCGTTGCCATCCTGTGCCACCGCCATCAATAGAGTTCCTCTGTACTTTCCATACAACCAAGTTCCGTCTACTTGCACAATAGGCTTACGGTAGGCGAAGCCACGTGTACACGAACGAAATGCCCAAAACAGACAATGAAATATTCGTTTTCCAGAGATTTGGGAACCATCACTTGATATCGTAGGTAGGGTTTGCAAATCTATAACGGTTCCTGGAAGGAAGGTTTTCATTACCAGTATCCACTGCGGTAGGTCGTTGTAAGATGTTTCCCAATTGCCATAAAGCGACTCTACCGCCTTGCACTTAGCGATCCATGCTTTCCTGTAAAATATAATGTACCCGTATTTTTCAAGAATATGGGCAATGATCACCCTTACCTTAAGTGAGGCGTCGCTGTTGACAAGTTCTCTGATACTATGGCTAACCATTTCTGAAATGAGCTTCCTAGGGTATTGTGCCATACACGTCATAGTGCATGTGTGAGACCCAGACAGCTTACCGATCACCCATTTCGAGTTCCTTTTTCTCAAGGAAACTCTACACTTGAAATTGCAGTCTTGTTTCTTACACTTAATGACATAGCGTTCATTGTCAGACTGATAGACCCAATAGTCCACACTGTGTGTAATGTGCCAATGCTGCAGAGCGAGGACGCAAGCTTCCTTGTTTTCGAACTCCATCCCAATCTCTATTTCGTCACCTATATAGTTTTGAATAGCACTTCCAAACACGGAGGTTGTATCGTCGTGTTTGAAATATATATTTTGCATGTGCGCAGGCGGGTTGTACAAACTTATGGGTTGCGCACGGATCGGGTGCATAGACGCGACAACTATATCTTCATTGTCTTCGTCATCGCTGTCACCAAAAATATCTTGCATCCTGACCTCCTGACTATCGTCATCACTTGCCTCTCCAACCTCCTCATTTGGTATGAAAGGTAAGTTGTTTTGTGTTGGTTCGTCGTTGGATGTTTGGCTCATCCCGTACCAGTGTGACTGTGTCTCTTGCGTCGGAAATGTTTCGGGATTGTCTAGTAGTCGGACATATAACTCAATTGTAGGTAACTGACCAAACATCATGTGGCACCGAAACATTGCCTTCACATCTTCGTTGTTCCGGATCGGCGTCATTATGTAAAAAATGGTACAGTCGTCTTCATTAAGTGTTGGATGACGATAAATTATTTCCTCAACGCTTCGTGCCAATTTTTTTTCCATTCTATCTTTAAAATTAAAAAAAAATCGGAACTGACATGAATTTTGAAGGCGTATGTATCTGTGTTGCTGAACGAGAATCCAATAGGGCTATTTGCTGAAACAACACTATTAAAGTGGCATGTGACAATTATGTTTCTCTGGGACATTTTGGAGTGTAAAGTAGAAATTCTTTGTAGTAAATATTGATGTGTAGAATATAAGTTTTTGGTAGTCAATATAAATTGTAGACTATTGATGTGTATAAATAAAATGATACATATATTTTGGGAATCAACAACTATATAAGACGACTATGAGAAGAGGTGGGAATATTGTGACTAGTAGCTCGTCCATTCCAAGGACGAGCTTGTGACTTAAAATGTGTGTGCGTCCAAAGAAAGGACGAGCTCGTGCCAAAATGTGTGTGTGTGCGTCCAATGAAAGGACGAGCTTGTGGTGTCATTAAGGAGCTCGTCCAATGAAAGGACGAGCTTGTAGTTTAAAAGTCGACTCAAGTTTAGTTGTGGCTCTGTTGGAGAAGTGGAGACCCGAAACACACACTTTTCACTTCCCAACAGGTGAATACACAATAACGCTTGAAGATGCATATATGTTACTTGGTCTACGAGTTGATGGAAAAGCTATCAACGGTCCCGCCGAGGTAACAAACTTTGTTTATATGGAAAACTTGGGGGTGGAACCTACAGAAGACGATAAAATTAAATGTTCTGTTAGGATCACCTAGTTAGAGAGTTTATACGAAACTTTAAAAAATAAAATTGTCCCCACACAAGAAGAAGTTCTGTTAGAAGCCAAAATTTATATTTTACTTGTAATCGCTACAATTTTGTTTCCTGACAAAAGTCAAAATCTATTGCATTCTTCTTGGATCCCTTTCGTAGGCAGCAGTCAAAGATGTTAGGAGCATGAGTGGTTGTGTTCTTCTACTGACTTCTTGGGCATTCACACGTATACCATTGTTCGCTCTTGTTACACAGTGGAACCCTCGTTTCCATATGCACAAAGGTATTTTTGTATTAAAACACTCATTTATGTGTACATAATATATATATATATATATATATATATATATATATATATATATATATATATATATATATATATATATATATATATATATATATATATATATATATATATATATATATATATATATATATATATATATATATATATATATATATTGTTCCGGCCTGGGCCCGACCTCGGCAGACCCAATATCACGTACGGCCCAACAGGCGA